ATATATATTTTTTGCGTATTTTGAAAATTCTTTTTGATTGCATTTTTATAGCTTGTCAAGCATAAGACTGGTGGCTGTGTCCCTTATTTTGTGTATGTGGGGGTCTATACGAATGCGCTTGCTCCAGCTGGTGGTACAATATTCGGAGGCGGTATCGCCTCTCTGATCCTCTAGTTAGAAAGTCACAATGCCATTCAGCCATTTCTTCCTACTTTTTCACATGCACATTATTGAAAACTGTAACTTTGAATCACTTTAAAGTATGATACATCAGATAAATGACCCTCCCCCCCCCCCACAAAAAAAAAAAAAATATATATATATATATATATATATATATATATATATATATATATAAGTAAATGAATGAATAAAAGAGAAAAGCTTAAAAAATTGGCAAAAAATGTCTAAAGTCAAACATGGATGTGCTAGGTACCTTGTTTTGTATGTGGTCAGTTTATTACTATATGTGCTACTGATTTGATTGTTCCTGTTAAAATATTAATATTTAAAATATTTCATGTCCTGCTATTTTAAAACGGAGAAAGCTTTGTCGTGCACTGGTTTAAGCCTTCTATCACACCATCAGCTCTAACTGTGCTGACAGCTACATCACGCACAATCAAATTAACGTGAACAGTAATTTTGCTAATCAGGCGAGAAAAAAACTGAGTCATCTCTCAGAAGCATCGTCAGTGAGCAATTTCTGAGAAATTTGTGGTTTTGAATTACAAATTGGAGAACAGGGTGACATCATTTGCATGATGAGCCCCAGAAGCTACTTAAACACTTGGTTGCCATGTAAACTGCTTTAATTTGATGCAATTATTTCCAAAAACAACTAAAACCTAGTACTAGTATAATGTTCAGCTTACACTGTTTCTCAAAGGTAAGCCTGTAACAGAAGTAAATTACCGCCATTTTTGCATTAGTTGTTTTGATAGCAGTAGCTGAATCAAACACAAATGGATCCCGGATGAGCAAATGTCTTTGCACACACACACACACACACACAGAGGGTTAACAATCCCACAATTCAGTTCAAAGGGTGGCTTATATCAAAGGAGAAAGATGGTTTTCTAAACATTGTGCAAGATATTTTATCACTTTTTTTTTATAGATACACCAAATGTATAGCATATAGTGCCATCTTGCATAATAACAGAGTTGATCTGGACCTTGGGAAGTCTCTGTCATTCTTGAAGATATGTTTCATTGTATTCAAAACATAGACAAATAAAACTTTCCATTTTATTCAAGGTTGAAATGATTTTATTGCATGACAGAGACATTGTTTTGATAAGAAGAATATATCAGGTAACAAAAATCCTGTTCTCACTCTTACTTCTGCCCGAGGACCTTCTTGCTCACCTTATCTATAGTACTTTCGTGTTGTCAAACACCAAATGAAGTTTGCAATGAATTCATAATGGTAATAGATCAATAGAATTCATAAAACATGGTCTCTTTTTAGCTGAGTTTGTGCTTTAATGATATCATCTGCCAGTGTTATGAATTCAAATACTTCGGTTAACCCTGAAGCGTGTTGAGCAAACATTTGTTATGAGTTTCAGTCTGATACTATTGATTGCAAAAGGAGTTTGTTTTAGTACATTTTTCATACTTGCTATAGGTTAACCATTTTCATCAATGAAGAAGAAAATGAAAATATGTCTCCTCCCGGGAGCATGTAATTATAGCAATAACGAGTGAAATTTTACTGTTAATGTGATGGACAATGCAATTAGATTTGTTTGTTGCATGCATGTAATTGAATTGAGGAAATGCATTTAGTGGTCTGCATAAAGTGCTACTAGATTATTTTTTTCATATTTGTCTTATAAACGTTTCTTACTGATTTTGAAATATTGAATGCAGATCTCTCATCTTATTTATGAGGACTTTTAAGGGCAGTCATCAGTTTGTCAAGATTAACAGTCAAAATTCTTGGCAGACACTTTCAAAGTGCAGTCTTCTTTTTCTGAACAAGAGATCCTTTTTATCCCGATTGTGTTGTAGATTCTAGGTCAAATTTTATACAGAGCAAGACTTTCTTCTGATCAAAAAGGTGTTTCATTTGAAATCCCCCCCTCCCACCTACCCCCCCCCCACCCCCCACCCACCTCCCAAGTCAAGTACACTGTGCATTAAAAGTAATCTGTTAGTAAGTAGTGCTTCATTGGAAGTATGATTGAGGTAGTTGAGATCTGGTTCAGTTGTATCTGATTGTGTTCACAACCAATTGTGTTTCTCTAAAGCACTAAGACTTGTCTGCTTAGGATTGTATTTTTATCATATAAGTATTTCTGAATAAAAGAAAAAATGGATTTTAATTTGAATGAAAATGTATTTATTTGAATGAAAGTTTGACTAAAATTCAAACTAAACAATTAATAGTTTAACCAGAGAGATATATTGAATCTATTCTGCTTAATTTTCCAGGAAGTTTGAGCATCTGGGAGCAGTTTCTTTCCATGGGAGTGACCGCCGCGGTGGTCATTACAGTGGGCAGTCTTCTCGTCCTCATTCTATGCATTGTGGCGATCACGTGCTGCTGCTGCAGGAAAATGCGCAAGAAAAGGGAGGAAGATGAAGCCACGGTGACGTCAGCAACGGCTGTGACCAGAGGAGGGGGTCCACAGTTCCCAAGTAATCAACAACCCCAAATTATGATCACATATGGTTTGTGTTGCTTTTTGCGGCTTTCTTTTCATTTGCAAATGCTATAAATGTTGATGTGAGTTTTTGTTTTTGTTTTTTGAATAATGATAATAATAATAATAATGGCCATTCTCAGAATTTTTTGTTTTGCTGTTTTTGTGTAGATATTATGAAAGATAAACTGTGGATGGGATATCTGTGTATGTCCATAGTTTACATGTCATGTACTTTGTTGCCCACCCTGATGATTTTAATTCTCTGCTGCTGTTGCAACTTATTACAAAGTGTAATAAGATTTTACAATAACAACGTTTCCTTTATACTGTGAAGAAAACTAATCCTGGACCAGTATTTGTGTGTGATTGTCATTTATGTGGTTTTGTTCCTCAGATTGAAGTGTAGAGGTCATTGCATTAATATTTCAGCATTTTTCCTGTTCATTATGTATCTATATAGTTGAACTGGTTAAAAGACAATTGTTTATACATTATTATTTGATTATTTGCACTAGAGCATTCAGTTGTATGCCACACATTCACTACTCTGATTTAGACCTAGTTACACCAAAATCATTAATTTGACAATTTATCTAAACAAATTTTTTATTAATTTTCTACAAAGTTTTTTGTGTAGACCAATGAATTCATATGAAGTCAATGAGATATTTATAAGTACAGTGTTTTATTAAAATCACAATTTTCTACACTAAAAGCAGTTTTTGGCTTCCCTCCATGGATCTCAGCCTTGGGTTGATCATCACATACCAATCGAGGTAAGCTGCACATTTTATGTAGATTTTGCTCTTTCTCTTCCACACTAGGTCCCAAGCCCGGGTTTGGTCCGGTTGTGCCAGCTCATCCCCACTTTGCTCAAGCTGGTGGATACCAGCCCATGCAAGCCACTCAGTGCGCCGCGCCAGGCATGTATCTCAACCAAACAGCCATGATGTACGCAGCGGCGGGGGCAACCAACTCGCCGTACCACAGGGACGGAGGTGCCTTTTCCAGTTCTCAAGATAGCTCCACTGGCTACTCATCGCAACCACCAGCGCGCACCCAACGTTCATATACCCCCACCAGTAGTAGGTCAAATCAATCGAATAGCCACAGCAGCGTAACGTATAGTAGTAATACAGATAAAGTGACCATGCCTGTACACTTATAGCACACTGAGCTCATTGATGTCTTTTAAATTCTTTGTTGTTTTTAATTTTTTCAATGCTCTGAAGATGCCATTGTATTGTAGTTTTACACACACAAATATATTCTCAGCTCATGAATTGATTGTTTTTTGCACTGAAGTAACCTAGTGGTATTTGAATATTTATCAATGTATGGAGAGAAAAGTTGAATCCTAAAATTACTGACAGTTTATAGTCATAATTTTATGGAAAGTAAAATGTATCCTTAAAAAATATTTGTGCAATAGCAATGATTTTATGGCAAAATACAGCATATTGACTTTGAATTATTTATTGTAGTTACTGGCACAGTTTGAAGTATGGTTCAGTTTTTTATTACCTCATGCCAGTATGGAAGATTTAATCTACTGTTCTAGTTTCACAGGTGATAGACAAACCTGCAGACTATTGAGTAAGTGAAAAGCTTTTTAAGAGTTTTGATTTTAAGTATATGTTTTTATCATATAGACAAGTATAGCTTTGAAAGGTTTGGGTGTTGAATGTTTGGCCAAACAGTTTGAAAAAGAAAAAGTTATTTAGTAATCCAGATCCGTTTGCACTTTTTCAGCAATTTGAGTGAATCGGCATTTTTAAAAAAAATTATTTGTCAATCAAACTCATTTATTTATTTGTTATTTTACTTTTATTTTTATAGTGTCAGTATTGTAAGTAGTCTGATAAGCAGGCTGCGACTTACCCAAATTGTGACTGAAAATCATAGTCTAAGGGTTAACTCAGAAGTTACTGTTGGTGAAAGTATCTGAACATTTTGTTGAAAATTAATAATTACTGTCCCATTTACTTTGAAGTCATGTTGTGTACCTTTTGTTATACATACAGACTGGGTATACTTCTCAGATTTCTTGAATTTTTCATCTGTTGGTAGTGTGGTTTCATTATTTATGAAGTGACAGAGTTGAGACACAGTAAGCCTTAAATATACTTGAATCTATACATATATATGTGTGTGTGTATCAGTTACTTCATCATGCAATAGAATTTAATGCAGTTGCACAGCTTGTTATTTGGGTCTTTTATTTTGGTCACTGACAGTAAATTTATAATCCTTATACTTTAGTCAATTTAATGATATACTTATGTACAGTACTTGTAAATCAACATTAGATGGCAGACAGAATATGTTGTTTGCACATCCTTACATTTTATAAAGCTGAAGCTTGTTTTGCGTATGATTTTAGCCAATTTTTTATATTAAGCTATTTTACAAGTTATTTGATGTCACCAAAATTAGAAATCATAAAAGAAGTGTTTATTCCAGTTACAAACTATAAGGTTATGTGCACCAGGGTGAATATGTATTCACATTCACTTTTGGTTAGCTTAAAATTGACCAGGTGACTTTCATCCAAATATAATTGTCTTATTGTTGTTTTTTACTATTTTGTTGTAAAGATTGATATGAAAGCTGTATATTTTTGTACATACCTGATGTAAGATCTCCTGTCAAAATAGAAGAGATCTTTTAAGAACAATGCCTGTGCAATATTGACATGTGCTTTTAATTAGTACTATGATAGTATCAGTCTAGACACCACCCTCAACACCACTGCATTAAATCCCTGTCACAATGCAACCCCAACACCACCTAATCACATACAACACAGCCCCAACACCACCCTATCACATACAACACAGCCCCAATACCACCCTATCACATACAATACAGCCCCAACACCACCTAATCACATACAACACAGTCCCAACACCACCTTATCACATACAACACAGT